ATACTATTTCTTTCTATCCATCTCCTTTCTGAACTCCTCTAAACCAAAACTCTCCTGTGCAGGGCCAAAGTCAGTTGTGGTGTAAACAGGTGTCTCTGGCAAATGAAGGCAGTTACTCTGGAGCTGCGGGGCCTCCACCACCCCTCCACGCACATCCTTCACTGATTAATTAGGGAGTTTTATCACACAGGATCCTCCCTGATCCTCCCCAGCTCTCCCTGTATTTGTTTCCAGCCGTTGCTTGGCAGAAGGCACAGCAGAATATGGGGGATGGACAATTATGGAGCAGTCTGTGAGGAACCAGAGAGTTATCTGCTCTGTTTTCCTTGAGCTGACTGAGCTGGTGGCTGTGGCACCAGGAATCTCTGTCTGGGGCAGCTCTCATTCATGACTGGTGTGCTAGGACGGATCTGGAAGCTCTTGGAGTGAATGAACAGGGATCTGGAAGCTCTTGGAGGGAATGAACAGGGATCTGGAAGCTCTTGGAGGGAATGAAGAGACTCTCATTGAGGAGTGAATGGGCTGTGGCAGCAGGGAGCAGCTTTATCGCCGCTGCCGAATTCCTCCAGGGCACGCTCCAGGGCACCCTCCTGGGGCCACAGCTCAGCCCCAGGTACTCACATTCCTGGTTTATTAGCTGAAGACACAGCCCACTCCAGAAAAGCAAATAAAAAGCTGAGCCACCCCCCAGGTTGTGCAAGGACTGAGTCCATGGAGGAACACTGTGTGTTTGTGCCTGGTGTGCCAGGAGTGCCGTGTGTACAGCGGCACCGTGTCCACTGGGCAGCATCCAGGGCTGCTTGGAGAGGGATAACTGGGATACTGAGGAGCTACAGGGGAAGCTCGTGGGTACATATGTTCCTTTTTGCCTTTAGAACCAGAGCTGGAAGAAATCTGCCTAATTATCTTTCACCAAACAACTCAAAGTGGTGTTTCAGGGCTGGCAGTGGAGGGGATGAGGAATTAATGGCTTGGGCAAGGAGGCTAGATCTTTGCTGGACCTCCGGCTTTCTCTCCAGTGGGATGAAAGCTTTAAAGACGCGGTGGTGAGTGGCACCATTCGGACGTTGCCCAAATCCCTGTGTGTTTAGGCATGGACATAGTCCTTTTGACACAACTGTAGCAGTTTTAGCCACTGCTCCTATCAGGGATATATCTTGCAGACAATACCAGAGTGTGTTAACTCTATGCTCAAATCCTCTTCTAGAGGGTTGCGGGGAAGGAACAGCACCTCAGTGCTGGCGTTGATAACTGTGCAGCCATGTGTCCTCCAGCTCCAATTATGAACAAGATCATGGTTTGGGCAGGGTGCAGGAGAGCTGGCAGAAAGGAATTACAGTCTGGGGACCAAGCTGGAGGCTGGAGGCCCTGCTGGGATACAAGGGAGGTCTGTGGAGACCCCCAGGAGTTGGTTTGTGATCATTAGATGGAATTTACTCTTTCACCATCAGCTGTTCTGCCCAGCCAGGGCCAAGCAGCCACCCATGGCTCATGGGTGCTGCAGGTGCCAGTGGAGTCTCTCTCCCTGTGGCTCCCCAGGCAGATGATACCTGTCCAAGGCCACACTGGGCAGGAAGTGGCTCTTCTCTTTGTGTTGGTGCCCCGTGTCCTGTTACAGCACCAACACCCGGCTTGGGTTACGGGCAGAGAGCAGTGTCAAGTGATCGCTGCTCAGCACTGTGCTGCTCTAACCTAACTTCTGCCACAGGCAGCTTCTCTTGCTCCAAAATCCCTTCTCCAGCCCTGTGCCCTGACAAGTTTTGGTTTTTCACAGAAATTAGTGTATTGAGGATGGGGTAGGCAGGTTGGAGCCAGCTGGCTGCATCTTACAGGTTTGGCCAGGGATGCTGGAAGGCAGCTGAGCATCACAGTAGCCAAATGAGCTGCTCCTTCCCACAGCCCCTGAGGAAATCACTGTAACCATCAAACTGCCCTCAACTCTGCCTTTCCCCTGGCTGTGTTGCCTGATCTGTCATGAGAGCCAGTGCTGTCTGACCAGCCATGGAAGCAGCTGAGGAAGCACCTACAGGGACCCACCTGGCTGTCACCTCGGTGAGGGGCGGCAGCAGCCTGCCGTGGGAAGCTCTGTGCAGAAATGCTTCTTGCCAGCCTTTCCCTTGGCTTCTGCCAGAGCCACACTGGTTTCCCCCCCTGCAGGTTTTGGGCTCAGAACAGACATGTGTAAGCAGAGAAGCAGCTTAATTTATTTATGGGGGGCATTAACATTAATTCAGCTGGTGGCTGTGTGGTGAGTAAGGTGGCAACTTGATAGGTACCAGCCATTCCCTCTGCTGCCAGCTGAGCCAGGGCTCGCTCTGCGCAGCCACAGACCCTTCCAGAATGTGAAGCTGAACAAATGTGATGCTGTTTTGTCAAGGAGGGAGGAAAGGATGAGAGTCCTGCTCCCATGAGAGCCAGGAAACTCCACCGAGGACAGCTGAGCTACTAGAAAGCATATCCAACTCTGGTACGGATAGAGCCAGGGGAGGGTATCTCAGGGCTTTAAGCCAGTTTGTTTGCAGAATTCCCTTTGCTTATCTCTCTGCATCCCTCTCTGTTCACCACGGTGAAGAAGACATGGTGGTGGGCAACATACTTGATGATCAAGGCAATTTCAGCAGGCCAAGGGTGACACCAGAACAGCAATCCTCCCCACCTGTCACCAGCCACGTGGCCATGTCCTCTGAGGACCTACATGGTCCTGTGAGTTTCACACTATGTCCTTGAGCCCCTCAGAGCAACCTCCCACCTTTGTCATCCAGTTGCCTGCTCTGCTCCAGCCTCACCATGATGATTTTAAATATCCCTCTCCAGGGTCTCACCTGAGATGGGTTTGATACTGCCAGTAACTCCCTCTTGATGCTGGGGTTACCTTGGCCCTCAGGTAGCAGTTGTGCACGTGTAGTTGGCACCCTGTCATGTCAGGCCAGTTAGTATTGTAGAAAAAATACCTTTGGGAAGCTAAACCCAAAGCCTCCTTCACTGAGGAATAATATTTAGACACCTGGATGCATTGAAGCACGCTTTCGATGTAGCAGATGCCTGTGAGCTGGGAATGCGGGAGCCACTGCACTCATTTCTGGGAGGCCTGGCAGCATACACAGGCTGAGGGTCCAGTTTGAGACAAAGTGGAAATACAGAAAGTCTTGTCAGCTCCAAATGTCCCTTAGCAGTGTCGCAATCACATAATCAAGGCCAGCTCAGCTTGGTGTGATTTGCTTCATTATGAAACGTAATTCTCCCTGGAATTTTAGTTCTTGCCTGCCCTCCACCCCCAAATGTGCCAGCTCACTCACAGCACAAATTAATGCTGGGGGAGGGAAGATCCAAGTGGGAAGGGGACCAAGACATTTAAATATTGGTTTACACGTGCTGAGTGCCCTTTGCTCATTAGCAATGCTGAATTAGTGGGTGGGTTTCCAGCGCTGCCAAGCAAAATCCCTCTGGATGTGCTCATGCAAGGGGCTGAGCTGGCCCACAGCCACGGATTTGTGCAGGGAATGCCTGCAGACCTCATTCTGTGCTTCAGTGGTGGCAGGGAAATAACAGGCACTGATTTACTCCTCTTGAGGATTTGGCCCAGGGACTTACAGTCCTTATTTAAGGTTTGCTGGAATTTGGTCAAAGAGGTCCCAACCCTGTTGAAATTTGCTCTTGGGGTGTGTTCATGCAAAAAAAAATTGTAAAAGATGGAATTCTGTGTTGAAAAGTGCTTATTTGAGAAGCTGTGTTTGTTTTAAAGGCAGTGTGTCAGCCTCTCCCTGCGCTGGCTCTTGCAGCACGGCACGGCAGGATGCTCCCTGCTCCCTGTGCCTGGCACCTCCAGCCTTGGGCTCACCTTGAGATCCCACCCTGAACCCTGATGGCTCAGAGCCCTGGGCTGCCTGCACCCACAATTTCCACACCTCATCCTCTTGCTTCTTCATCACGTGTCCTTCCATCTCCAGAACTGACTGACCAGGTTCAAACCCCTACTTGGCACCTGCCCATCCTGCAGCATCCAGACCACAACAGCCCAAGTTTCTGTTCTGCCTTTATCCCTGTGTTTCCCTTCTTGGCAACTAATTGAATTTAATGATGACTCTGTTTAATACTAAGTACAGCCTCTGCTGTCCCACTTCTCCCCAGGTGAGATAAGTCACTATTCCAGGCCACTCCATAGGAATAAACCCCCAGCCAAAACCCTTTGGCAACCAAAGTCACTTCCCAGGGACAAATAAACCACCTTGTAGCTGCCGAGGGAGATTTCTGATCGGGGCTCTCCAAGGAGGGGCACACACAACCTGTTTGTTCCCAACTAAACACCAACCAGGTAAATCCACAGCTCTCGGGTGGGACAGTTTGCAGGTTCAGACCCCCCAAAAGCTGCTCGTGTCCCCCCAGATAGCCCCATCTTCTTGTCCAGGGAATAACTGAGGGAGTTATTTCTCACATGACATTCTGCTTGTTCTGCCCACCCCACAGGCCAAGTCTTCACCTTGGGCAGGGTAAGAGACCTGCTAATACCAGGAATAACTGTTGTTGGTACCTAAATGTTCTCCGTGGTGGTTTGTAAACAAGCTGCTTCTCGGGCTCTGCACAAACACCCATCCTGCGCATTCCCTCCACTTCCAAAGAGCCAAAGGGCACTGGAGTTTTCATGGTTCACCGAGTAGTTAGAAGAGGATAATCATTAACCTGCTGAGGACAGTCTTTCTTTTGTGAGGCCCTTTATCAGGTGATCTTGCTAACAGAAGTGGGGAGGATCAGGGTGAGGGGAAGCAATGTTTTGCCTGGCTTGTCTCTTCCCACCAAATCCCAGCTGTCCCCACAGTGGGAGGTATTGGCACAGACTAAGGTGTGTGTGTGCTGCCAGGTCAGGCTAGCCTGTTGCGTATGGAGCTCTGGATTAATGTGGCTTTGATTGAACTCAAGCCTCAAACTCTCCAACAGCCATATCCAGTTCTCTAGAAGTATTTTTGCTGTAGGAAACTTTGGATGTGTTTGTGGGCATGACTTACCATACAGGTCCTTTCCGCTCAGCTTGGAGGCTCCGTCAGCTCTGCCCATGCTGCCACTGGAAAAGAAGGAAGGTACAAATCAACCATCAGCTCCCAAAGCTTTTTAACATCAGCTTTCACACAGCAGCTGTCCCAGAGAGACCAGTCCTTCCTTCTCATCACATCTATTGGATGTGATACACCTCTGAATCACCAGGCAAAGCGTTTCCTAGTCCGATGGTACCGGCAGCTCCCTGTGCAACCCTACCTGTTATCCACACCGCAGGCACATGTCACTGAGCCCAGTGGCTGGAAACTGGAGATGGAGGAGCCCAGCTAGGCCTGTCCCCACTAGAGTTACCCTCACACAGTGTCACCTGGAAGGACAGTGCTTCCAGAGGGGCTGGCTGAAGGACAGCAGCTCCCAGTGTGCCATAAGTGGGCTTGTTACAGGTAAATGGAGACTCCTCCACGTTATACCTGAGTCCACCTGAACCTGAGGCAGTGTAAGTGCCATGATTAAGATCCCTTATGAATGGACCCATTGGAAATGTACCCCCTGAAGGCAGGTGCTTGGATACAGAACATGTCCCATGTAAAAATGTGGGAGGATGGAATTGTGTGTAAACACTTGAGTTTTGGGGTGTCAGGTCTGTAAGCAGCACCATGTAGGGCCACCCCCTGTGCCTGGGCCATGGGTAGGAGTGAGCAGCCAGGACATAACAAGGCAGGCAATGGTTCACAGTGCTCATATACCTACACTCTGCTTTCCAGAGACCAGGAGCATGCAGGAAGGTGGGAGGAAGAGAACTGGTGGCTCTGGCTCTGTCAGAAAGGTCCTGTGGGCTGCCATAACCCCCAGGCTGCAGATAAAGAAGGTCCTGGTGTCCCTCTCCTCTCTCCACCTAACGTGGCATTAGCAAGCCACAGTGTGCAGGACAGGTGAGGTGTGGAGCAGTGATGCTGACCATGGCTATAGCTTGTGAGGTGCCCAGGAAGGGTGAAACAAACACCAGGGACTTACTTTGACGAGCCAGGGTTGCTGCTGAGGGATCCCTTGTGACTCATGTTGCTTCACGGGACAGGCAACTGCAGGAGATGCAGAAGAGACAGGGTCAGTGGTTACAGAACACGCTATCAGGTGATCTATCCATGTGTGTGCTGCCCTCCCTCCCTCCCTCCGAGTTGGGGTCTCCAAGCACACAGAGGAGACAGGTGAGCATGAAGGAGTTTCCTCACCACTCTCTGCCCTGTGGCCCAGACAGCTTTCACAGCTCTGACCTGGGCTGAAGGTGACACATCCTAAGATGCTTTTTCAAAACCTATTTCCACCTCTCCCTCTTGCCCATCCCTTCCAGGCACACCCTGACTTTGTGGCATTCCAGCACGTCTGTTTCAGGGACTGGAGTGGCCTTTGCCTTCGCAGTCTCTCGTGGATCCCTGTGGCTGTCTGTCCCGAGTCATTTTTCATGTCTAGAGTGCCATTAGCTTTTGTTATGTGGCAATTTTAAGCTCTATACCAGCTGTTAAAGTATCTTTACAAGGGTATTGCCCACGTAGAGAAAAGTGGAGTAACTGTGGATGCTGCTCTACTGGCAGCACAGGGATGGATGAAAATGTACTGCAATGGCTGAGTGATTCATGAGGGTCAGACAGGCTCAGATCAGTTTTTCCTTCCTCTTTCAGAGAAGAATTAAAAACAGTGTGGGCGAAGATGTGAGAGAGATCCAGGCACTGCCCTGAGAGCAGAACTGCAAGGGGGAAAAAAAGGAAGGAAAACAAGGTATAATAAAATCTCAGGGGATGTTTCATATTGGCATCCAAGATCTTCACCTCTGCTCCAGTGTGAGCTGAATGGAAGCCAAGACAAGTCTTAAAGGCTTTTTAAATTCATTTTGAAAAGCTCAGAGGCACCTGCCCATGGGCTGGGCACACTGTGCCTGGGTCAGACCCTGCTCACCTCGTGGTAGGACTGTCAGAACTCCAAGGATTGGCTTTAAAATACTCGTGGTTGGCCTGGAGAAAGAAATTCATCCGTGTCTTCAGTGGGATCTCCTATGAGGGGATCTCCATGCTTGGTGTGTGCCAGGGGCTGCATGTGCCAAGGGCAGGCAGTGCAGTTAGCTTGCAAAAGTTTGTTTTAATTGAATTGAGGCTAAAGTGTGTGTGTGTAATCCCCAGGGAACACTTTGGAGTTATCCCCAGCACCTGGGATTTCCCCTCTGGAGGCTGACTGTGTGCTGCAGGGCTTATTGTATCATCAGCAGAGCTGCCCTAGATTCCCTATGTATCCGTTTTGATTCCTGGTGTTGGAAACACTAGTTTGTGGTATTTTTTCCCCTGTGTTTCACCCTGAGGTGAGGGCAGAGACAGTTTTCTCACTGATGTTATCAGAACTGTCAGAGGGATGTGTAGTGTGGAGATGCAGCTCTCCAAGTGAAGCACATGTGTGCACAGACTGGGCATGTTTTGGGCTCAGCCTTACAGCTTTCAGCCTGTCTTCTGTCACAGTGACATGCCTCTGCACTGAGACACTGCTAGAAATTATTCTCAAGGGCCTTTTAGCAGCTAGTACATTAAATTCTCCCTTTTTTATCTCTCTTGTGGTTAATATTGGTAAAAATTCAGGTAAAAATTCATATCCACATTAGAATAGAAACTTGGTGTTCTGCCAATCCCTCTGTCTGTAATAAAACCCATCTCTGTGCCCAAGCTTGGGTACCTGTGAATTTTTCCTCTGTTAATGGCTGTCTGCTGGTTTCCTTTTACAGTCCTCAAACTGTTCCTATCTCCCAGATCTCCCTGTGCATTAGCATAAGATACCTGGAAAAGGGAACGCGCTCTTAAAAGCCCCCGCTCTGCTCTGTTTACTCTGCACCACCCAATCACTCCAGTCCCACGGCTGATGATAGCTGGGAATGTTTCTGCATATTAATGTCATATTCCTGGCTCCCTTTCACTTACTGCCCCACGGCTGTGTCCTTAATGGACTGAAATCCAGGTTATTCCAGCAG